TTTATTGGAACTCAGCCATGTCCATTTGTTTACATATTGTCTATGGCTGCTTATCATGCTACAGTGGTAGAGCTGAGTAGTTGTGACAGAGACAGTCAGGGACACAAGGTCTATCTGGCTCATCAGAGAAAAGGTCTGCCAACCCCTGCTCTGGAAAGAAAAGGGAATGAGGGAGGGAGGAAGGGAGGGAAAGAGGAGAAGAGAGGAAATATGGCTGTATTCCAAATATCTATTGTAAGAAAGAGGAATTCGATTTGTTTAGCATGGCCCAAGATATCAAACAAGGAGCAACAGATTTGAAGTTACAAGACAAAGAGTTCAGCTGAAGATAGGATGAGCTCTCCAGCAGGCATGGAATCCACACCAGAAGGGCTGCCTGGAGCAGTGAAGATGATGTCGCTGGATGTCCACATGTGTCAAGTGGACTAAGGTCCCCCAGAGACATGCAGGTTTGCTAAAGATTTTGCCAAAGGAAGCATGCAAGTTGAAGAGGTTTTGAAAGGCACGGTGTGGTTGGAGAAAGGGCTGTGGCTAGAGAGCAGAGAGGAGAGATTATGGGGAGGAAGGACAGAGTGACGTGGCCATATAGTGAGGAACTTTACAAAAGATGGAAGTTTAACCATGTGATGTGTGACATTACCTCTTCTATGTTCTCCTGAAATCTTCAGTTAAAGCAATATTCTGTCAATGTTTCTGGGGTTGTTATTTGTGGAGATTTCTAGGAGGGGATGTGACGTGGCATTTGCCTTAAGGAAATAGCATATTAGCCCAAAGAGACCTGGGTCCATTCCAGCTGAATCCAACCCTTATAGGTATGTCAGAGATGCCGGGAGGCCATTCGAATCCTGCCAACCCTGAGGCCATAGCAGTCTTGGAAAACATTATCTGGCTTATTAACACGAGCACTTAGCTGAACACTCAACATGAACCTTGCCAAAGTGAAGCCACAGGAATACATTTCTTAAATTTTTCTTTCATTTCAGATCCTTCTTAAGAATTGCTAAGGCTCAACTACATGTGGAAGATTCCAGGAGGCAAAATAATTTCTGAGCTTTGGGATTTCCCTGAGGATGGTCCAAATCTGTGAAAATTTCATAGGAATTCTCCAAACCCATACAATGTACAACACTAAGAGTGAACTATAAAACTATGGACTTTGGGTGACTATGATGTGCCAGTGTTAGGTCCATCAATTGTAACAAATGTCCCACTCTGGTGGGGATGTTGATAATGGGGGAGGCTGTGCATGTGCAGGGCAGAGGATATATGGGAAATCTCTGTACCTTCTTTTGATTTTGCTGTGAACCTAAAACTGCTCTAAAAATATTGTCTTTAAAGGAAGTTTTCATAAAAGTTTCAAACAAGGACATTGAGGACATAAGTTGGCTCTGGGTTGGATCCTAGGAACTCATGGATCTTCAGCAGATGGGAATTGTGTACCCCACATGCTCACACCCTCGTGGGCTATTTCTATTACACTCAAAACTTAGTAGCGGGCTTCCCTGGTGGCGCAGTGGTTGAGAGTCCGCCTGCCGATGCAGGGGACACGGGTTCGTGCCCCGGTCTGGGAGGATCCCACATGCCACGGAGCAGCTGGGCCCGTGAGCCGTGGCCGCTGAGCCAGCGCGTCCGGAGCCTGTGTTCCGCAATGGGAGAGGCCACAACAGCGAGAGGCCCGCATACCAAAAAAAAAAAAAAAAAAAAATTTAGTAGCTTTGAACCACAATAATTTGTTATTTCTCATGATTCTGTGCGATGGCTGGGCATTTCCTCTGCTGGTCTCACGCGGGCTCACTTGTGTGTCTACATGCAGCTGGAGGCTCAGCTGGGCTGGAAGGTCAACATGGCCTCACACACATGCTTGGCAGATGGTGCTGCTGGTGGCTGGGAGCTTGGTTTTTCTTCATGTGCCCTCTCATCCTCCAGAACCCTTCTCCACATGGCCCCTTGAGCAGAAGATCCAGGGCTTACTTGGTGCTGGCTTCCAAGAGAGCAAAAATAAGAAGCTACAAGGGCTCTCAAGGCCTAGGACCAAACATCAGACACCCTCACTTCAGCCACATTCGATTGGTCCAAGCAAGTCGTAGGCCAGCCCAGGTTCAAGAGGAGGGAAATAAACTCCACCTCTTAATGAAGAGTTTGCAATCACACTGCAAAAGGGCATTTGTGGGATGCTGGTCTCATCTTTGGAAAATACCTAACAAACATACACATAAACACACACACAATCCTTTATATGCAACCATCCCTCCAGGTGCATCCACTGCCAGCCAGAACCTAAACTTGACAGTACTCAATGGAAGAAAGAAATTAGAGTGTCCTACATGCCAGTTCTCCTCTTGCTTGACATCAGCCCCATCATAAGCAGACCCTATCAGAGTTTACATCCCTTGAGAAGCATTGTAATTGATCTTTGCATCAATCAATAAGTATTTGAATCCACAGCAACAGCCTGCCTATAGGAAATGTTCAGCTCATGCTAGGATTTTACCTTTCTGCTAAATCATGCTGAAAGAACCACAGTGAAACTTTATATTCAAAAAAATGTTCAAAGCCCCAATCAGTAACAGGTTTAACAGGATGCATCTCCTAATCCTTTCCTTTCATCACAGACATCTCTTTTTTTTTTTTTTTTAGCCTACGGGCCCCTCCCTTCTGTTGAGACTTGCACCTTTTCCTACCCTAGTCACATGGCTCTGGTGGGGGCTGCCATGTTCTTACGCGACTCCGCCCCCCTGTCCACAGTTGATTGGTTCAGGGATGGGCATCTAACCCAAACAGGCCAATCAGAGTTCTTCCCTCAGGTTTGTTTTTCCTAGCTGGAACTGGGAAAATATAGACATGCTCTGTGATGACAGGAACTTTGGAGTGAGACAAAGAGGAGCATTTGTGGCCACACTCCTCACCTTATGGAGAAAGCCAGTCCCCAGGGAGAGAAAATTGAGGTGATATGCAGACAAAGGCAGACACAGAGATGGAGAGAGAGATCTGGTAATGTGTGAGTCCCTGGTTCCTACAGCCCAGATGCATCCCTGTCTTTCTGCAGAATGACTTCAGGGACATGGGAAATCATGCCTCATAAGGCCTCTTGCAGATGCCATGCCCATAGCCCATTGGTACTCACCATTCTAGTACTGCATGCCCCCCAGACTAAAACTTGCCATGTTGGCCTTCTTCCCTTCCTTGAATCACTTCCCCACTCCCTTATGGGTGCTCCCTGGAGTAACCTCTCAAATAAACCACTTGCACTCACATCCTTGTTTCAGGGTCTGCTTTTTTAATATATATAAATCTATTTGTTTTATTTATTTATTTTTGGCTGTGTTGGATCATCATTGCTGCACGCGGGCTTTCTCTAGCTGTGGTGAGCAGGGACTACTCTTCGTTGCAGTGCGCGGGCTTCTCATTGCGGTGGCTTCTCTTGTTGCAGAACACGGGCTCTAGGCATGCAGGCTTCAGTAGTCGTGGCTCGTGGGCTCTAAAGTACAGGCTCAGTAGTTGTGGCGCAAGGGCTTAGTTGCTCCATGGCATGTGGGATCTTCCCAGACCAGGCATCGAACCTGTGTCCCCTGCATTGGCAGGTGGATTCTTAACCACTGTGCCACCAGGGAAGTCCCTCAGGTCTTCTTTGAGGGCAAACCAGACTAAAGCATAGTCCCTTTTCTTACCTACACTAGTAAGATGTGGGTTTCTGTCACTTGCAACCAAGAGTTCTGACTATTACCTTCTGTTGGGATGATTCCTAAAATGTGTTTGGAAATTTCTCCATCTCCACTCTAGTAACTATGTCATAAGCATGTAGAGTTCTTAACAAAGTTTAATGGGATTCTTGATCAACCGTAAGTTTCACAAAATGCACTGCACTTCTGTAACAATTCCCAGTGACTGATATAACTGCCATGCAAAAGAAAGTAAGAGTCAGAGACGGATCTACTGGGCTGGCAAAGAAGAATCTAGTCCAGAATGGCATGGGTGGGAGGGAGATGCTTCTGGAACTGTGGGACCGTCAAGCCTGCATGACCCACTGCTGAGTACTAGGACAGCTTGAAAACATAGTGGCCAGGAAGAGACTTACTCTCTCCTCCATATTTCATCTTCCACCCCATCCAAAGTGCTCAATAAATATTTGCTAAAACAGATGATGGATTTATACCTTCCAAACCAGAGCTCACCAAAGAGAAACCAAGATACACTGCAATGCTGTGACCATAAGCATTATAGTGACTACAATTAGAATTCTCTCTAGCCAGCCACCTCCACTAAGCTCTGTTGATTACACAAAATGTTGCACTTTGGGGAAGTTTCAGTGGCCATGGTGGATTGCTGCATGACTGCTGGCTGTTTTTTATGTGTTTTATGTGTTTTTATGTTTTTCCAGAATATTGAGATATATATGTGTTGTCCCTAAAAGGGCCTAAGTGATTAATATACAGTTCCCAAAGAGCCAAACTACTTAGTACCAGTATTCACATCCCCTTGGAGAATCTACATACCAGGGACTCAGAGTTCTCTCCTGACCAAAGAACGCCTGGCCTCGGACAGTCCTGATCCTGGTAACAACAGCTCCCTTCCAAGCCTGGCTTCCCCAGAGTAGCATATGTTGTTCTTTGCCACCAAGGGTATCCAGGGATGCAAACTAAAGATAATGATGTTTTATTGGCCCTCAATCATCTGTCTTTTCCACGTGTCGGAAGGAGTGACAAGTCCAATTTGTCCAAGCACAAAATAGCATATTGGCATCATTAGATCAGATAAAGAAACTATCGGTAGCAATTTATTATTGTACTGAAAGTAACTAACATTTGTTGAGCACTTACCAGTACTAAGGACCCATGTAAGTGCTTACCTGCTGCATTAGCCAGGATAGACTAGGTTATGCCACAATAACAAATTAACCCCAAAATCTCAGTGGCTTGGCAACAGAGGCTGACTTCTCATATTCCATGTCCACCACGAGTTAGCTGGGTACTATGCTCTATTTGGTCACTCAGAGACCCAGGATGATGGAGACTCTACCATCTCAATGCAAGGCTTCCACACTTACTGTGACAGGGGATGAGAGGGTGAGATGGTTATGCACCAGCCCTTGAAAGCTTCAGGCTGGAAGTCATAGATGTGGCTTCCACTCAAAACACATGGCCCACGATTACAAGGGGACTGGGAAGTGAGGGGGTGCATGTGGATATCCCATGAGCAGTAAGCATTCCTGTCAACATGCATCATCTCATTGGAGCCTCACAACCTCAGGAAATATATCATTACTTCTTTTTACAGAGAAAGAAACAGAGGCACAGAGAGGTTATGAGATTTGCCCCAAGTGTAAAATGTAAGCCCAGAGCAGAGATGTGAGCCCAGGCCTGCAAGCTGCAAAATACCCTCAACTGCTTCGCTGCATACTCATCACAAAATTCTACAAAATTCCCTTTTATAGCAAAACACCGTGCTAATTAATAAGAGAGGCCAAGTTATGCAAATACAAAATGGAGCACCCCTGACACACCACCTCCTCACCCCAAAAATTCAACCTAAGCAAATACTTGGAACAGAATTATCAGGCAATTTCAGGAAGAGGGAAATGGGTCATCTCCTCTGGGTCTGAGATCCAGCCCACAGTCCACCCACATCAAGATAAAAACCTTCTGAAAACTTCACCTGAAAACCTAGGCAGACTGTCACCTCCTGTCACTAGAAAACCCACTGATGATATCTTTATACAATTCACAGATCTCTCCAAAGCTGCAAAGGTAAATGTCATCCATGTACCTGTAGAAAGCAGCCACAGGCAGATCTGTTAGGAGACTGCTGTCATATCTGGATGAGCGGCTGAGTGAAGATGCTTCCAACAGGCTAATTCTTCCCAGCCTGCAAAACTCAATTCTAGCACCACCTCCTCCAGGGAGCCCTCCTCCTCCTGGCTTCTCCGTTAGGACCCTCTCCCTGTTCTCCTGTGTCACCTCCCATTCACACCTCTGGCAGGACCCCCCTTATTTGTCTGCCTGTCCCCTGGACTCTGGGCCACCCACAGGCAACCTTGACATCTATACTTCTGTGCCTCTGGCACCTGACACATAGTATGTGCTCAATAAATGTGGGGTGGATGGGTGTATGCTTAAGCCTGTTCCCTTGGGGAATTTAAACCCCTGTGTGCAGCAAATGTGTAGCCAAGTATTAAAATTATAGTCCCAGCCTCACTTCTGCTGTGTGGCCTTGGAGAGGTTCTATAGCCTCTCTGCGCTGTTTATTCAGCTACAAAGTAAAAACCATCTCATAAATATGTTGAAAAACGTAAGTGGAAAGCAGAGGGTATTGAAACAAAAGCTCATACACAAATGTTCACAGCCAGATTATTCACAATAGCCAAAAGGTGGAAACAACCCAAATGTCCATCAGCCGGTGAATGGATATATAAAAATATTATTCAGCCATGAAATGGAATGAAGTGCTGACACATGCTACAACATGAATGAACCTTGAAAACATGGTGCTCATTATAAGAAGCCAGACACAAAAGGCCAAATATTATGTGATTCCATTTATATGAAATGTCCAGAATAGGTAGATCCAAACAGACAGAAAGGAGATAAGTGGTTGCTAGGGGCTGGGGGAGGGAGGAATGAGGAGTGACTGTTAATGGGTATGAAGTTTCCTTTTGGGTGATGAAAATAGTCTGAAACTAGATAGTGGTAATGGTTGCACAGCACTGTGAATGTACTAAATGTCACTAAATTTGTCCACTTGCAAATGATTAAAATGTTTTTTTTTTTAATCTCAAAGAGAGATCTGAACTCCCATGTTTATTGCAGCATTATTCACAACAGCTAAGGTATGGAAACAACCTAAGGGCCTGTCAATGGATGAACAGATAAAGAAAATGTGATACTCTCTCTTTCTCTCTCTCTCTCACACACACATACACACACACACACACACACACACACACACACACACCACTGAAATATGATTCAGCCTTAAAAAAGAAGGAAATCTTGTCACTTGCAACAACATAAATGAACATGGAGGGCATTATGCTAAATGAAATAAATCAGAGAAAGACAAATACTGCATGATATCAGTTATATGTGGAACCTGAAAAAAGAAATGGCAAGTTGAACTCATACAAACAAGAGTAGAATGGTCTTTTGCCTCCCCATATAAACTTTAGAATCAGTTTGTTAATAGCCGTGAAATAATGTTGGAATTTTGATTGGGACTGCATTGAATCTATAGATTAAGTTGGGAAGAACTGACATTCTGATGATACTAAGCCTACCCATCCATGAACATGAAACATCTCTCCATTTACTTAGTTCTTTGATTTCATTCAACAGAGTTTTCTAGTTTTCCTCATATAGATCTCATACATATTTTGTTAGATTTACGTTAAGTATTTCTCTACTTACATATATACACATACATATGATATATACATAATTAAATACATTGTTGTTATTACTAGTGTGAACAAACTATTACCTGTTAGATCAACTAAAAAGAAGGAAAACAAAAGTTTTAATTTTACATTTACCTTTACTTATTCCTTCTTTGATGTTCTTCCTTTCTTTATACAGAACCAAGTTTCTGACCTATAAAAAATGGTAAATTTTATTGTTATTGGACCACAATGACTTTTTGTAATTCTTATAGGGAATTTTCAACTAATAATCTTTCTAGGGTTTCAAAAAAATTAAATGGGATAGAATAGATGATGTATATACAGTTCCCAGCCCTCTGGGCACTCAATCCACAGTGGCTGTTTCCATAGTCATAATGAACAGTAATTTCTTCTCCCTATAAAAACAGGCTATATTGAGTAAAGGAAAGCTCCAATCTAATTTGTTCTCCAAATGTTCACAATAGTGGAATTCGTGTAAGAGTCCAAAATATTTCACACTGTTTGTCTTTTTTTATCATGGTAAAATACACATAATATTTAGCATTTTTTACCTTTTTAAAGTGCACAGTGCAGTGGCATTAAGTGCATTCACAGTGCTGTGCAGCCGCCACCACCATCCACCTCCAGAACTTTTCCGTCACGTCGAACGTGCCAACTCGTTACGCTCCAGGTGTTCTAATCCACAGCAGAGCTGGAGCAGAATTATCAATGTGGACTTTGATCAACTGCAGATAAAAAAAAAAGAGAGAAAGTGGGAGCAGGCCGTGAACTCAGCGATGTGAGCGTGTGAGGCACTGGGGACATGACGGGGCCCAGGGCCTTCACATTGCTGCTGCCCGTCCTGTTGGGCTGGGCCGGCTGCCACCCCATCCCAGGAGGAAGAGCTTCCACAAGCTGCTGCTGATCTCCTTTCATGGGTTCCGCTAGGACTACGACCAGGACATGGACACCCCCAACATGGACCACCTGGCCAGGAGGGCGTGAAGGCCAAGTACCTCACACCGCCCTTCATGACAATGACCTCCCCGTCTCACTTCACCACCACCTCAGGTAAGCTCCGCCCTGCAGCCAGGCCATGATGTGGGCGGAAACCCCGCATCCGTAGTTCCCTGAAACAGAGCTGATTCTCAGTCATCTCTGGGGAGACCGAGGCAGCCAATGCCACTTGGGGTCACCCCCTGGAAGAAGCACTAGCTTAGAATACTAAGGGATGCACAGGGCTGTTTCTAGAACCCATGGCCTGCAGGCAGAATGGGGACCACGGCTGCAGCCTCCTAAGGGATCTCCCCAAAGCCTGGGCCCACCCTACCCTCCACCTACCCTCCACCCTGCCTTTCACATCGTGGCCGGTGATCTTTTTAAAAAGTAAATCATTAAAAGAATTTTATAAAAATAATAAAACATTAAAGTTTAAAGTAATCAGTTAGATCAGGTTACTCCCCTGCTTAATACTGGTGCATTGGAGGGACACGTATGATCTTTGAAGAGAATTCAAATTTTGTCTTTCAGTGATCCAGAAGGTCCCCATAGCCTGGCCCCCGACCTGCTCTCTCCTGACCTCTCTCATCTCTCTTCCTCTCACAAGCTTCCCTCCAGATCACAAAGGTCCCCTGCCTGGGCCTCCAACCAGCTCCCACCGGCCTCAGGGCCTTTGCCTAAGCTGGTCCCTCCAGCTCACCTGAAGCATGTTATCCAACGGGGGAGACAGACATTAGACAAGTAAACACACCAACAGATGTCATTACAAGTCAGAGAGGCACCAAGAAGAAAGAGAAGAGCTTCTCCAGGAGAAGACAGCAAGGGCAAATTGACTTGAACTCAGAGAGGCAGGGAAGGGTTCTCTGAGGAAGGGGCAGTTGAGCTGCGAGTGAAAGAGACCTCAGGAGTCCAGAGGAAGGAAAAGCATTCCAGGCAGAGGGAACAGCATGTACAAGGTCTTTGTGACAGAAAGGAACGTGATTGTTCCAGAATCTCAGTTGCCACTAAGCAAATAAAGAGATTCCGATCTAAAAGAGAGGCAGAAAGACATTTACACATTACTATACATAAGACAGATAACTAATAAGAACCTGCTGTATAGCACAGGGAACTCTACTCAATACTCTGTAATGGCCTATATGGGAAAAGAATCTTAAAAAAAAAAAAAAAAAGGGCTTCCCTGGTGGCGCAGTGGTTGAGAGTCCGCCTGCCAATGCAGGGGACACGGGTTCGTGCCCCAGTCCGGGAAGATCCCACGTGCCGCGGAGCGACTGGGTCCGTGAGCCATGGCCGCTGAGCCTGCGCATCTGGAGCCTGTGCTCCGCAAAGGGAGAGGCCACAACAGGGAGAGGCCCGCGTACCGCAAAAAAAAAGAGTGGATATATGTATATGTATAATTGATTCACTTTGCTGTACAGCTGAAACTAACACAACATTGCAAATCAACTACACTCCAATAAAAATTTGAGAATAGGGACTTCCCTGGTGGTGCAGTGATTAAGAATCCGCCTGCCAATGCAGGGGACACGGGTTCGAGCCCTGGTCCGGGAAGATCCAGCATACCTCAGAGCAGCTAAGTCCGTATGCCACAACTACTGAGCCCGTGCTCTAGAGCCCTCGAGCCACAACCGCTGAGCCTGCGCACGTGGACCCCATGCTCTGCAACAAGAGAAGCCACCTCAATGAGAAGACCACGCACTGCAAGGAAGGGTAGCCGCGGCTCGTTGCAACTAGAGAAAGCCTGTGCACAGCAAAAAAGACCCAACGCAGCCAAAAAATTAATTAATTAATTTTTAAAAAAATAAAAATACTTGGCCCTACCACATAACAATTAAATAAAAATCTTTGAGGATGGGGGAAGAAAAGGAAAAAAAATAAGAAAAGGAGGGTCAGGATGCAAAGGATTCCACTATAATAAGACTAACATTAGCTTCCATTTCTCAAATGTGAGCCTGATGCAGGGCTCTGTGCCAGGTGCTTTGCCTCCATTATCACCAGTACGATACTGCAAAGCAAGCACTGTCCCCGTCCACAGGTGAGAAAACGATGACTCAGCAAGGCTGAGTAACTGACCAGTCACTCGGTCAGAAAGTGGGAAAGGAGAAGCCAGTCTAGGAACAAGGGTGCCCCTGGCCACACAAAACTGGTTCTGCCCAGTTCTGAGCTGGGAATCTGCAGACCCCTCTCGCAGGGCAAGGAGGGGTGCTGGTGGCATGAACCTCACCCCCACCCAGAGAGCCACTCACTGGGGTCCGAGGGCAGCTCTAGGAACCTCTGACATGATGGGCAAACCGCCGGTGCCTTTTTGCTGGAAGAGGTTTTCATCACTTCCACCTGACTCTCAAAGGTGCGTTTGAATCAGAAACTCAAAAAATAAAGCTGAGCAACCACTCAGAGAGAGATTGCTGAGAGAGATTTTCCTACATGTAAACTCTTTGAGAGGCAAGTCATTCGGGAACTATTAGCACCAGGAAGCAGGAACTAAAGAGCCCTTTTCTGGAGAAAGCGAACGCCACTTCCCAGGGGCATTAACTTCATAACACTTAAAAGATCTCCCATGGGCAGACTCTGGGTCCCTGAATGCTGAAAATACAATGGGCACAAAATATTGTAAGGTAAGGAACACTCACCTTTTATTTATTCCCAGAAGGCTTCTGATGAGAAGATACAAACAGTGAGAGCAAATTTTTTAAATTACAAAATCCCCCCAACACCTCTCCTACATTCACTGCCAGCAGGGAATGGAAACAGGTACAGCTTCAGTGGAGCGTAATTTGACAACATCCCATACAATTACAAATGCACAAAACTTTCTTATTTGGCAATTCCACTTGTAGGACTCTATCCTACCATTACATACTTGCTTGGCGGAAAATGATGTACATACAAAGATATTCATTACATTAGTGTTTGTAAGAGCAAAAGAAAATAGAAACAACGTGACTATCCATCCAGATGGGAGTGGTTAAGTAAAATACTGGACATGCATAGAATGGCATACTCTGTCACCTTTAAAAGAAAAACTGAGGAAGCTTTTTGTGTCCAGTAGGAAGTTATCTCCAAGATGGATTAAGTGACAAAAGCAAGATGCAAAGAATATGTGTAGCATGCACATGTGTGTGTGTATAACATGTGTGTATATATGTGCATACAATTGCTTATAGATGCACAGAGGACCTCTAAAAAGAAGAAATTGGTAACACTGATTCCTCCAGGAAGAGGACGAGGTAGAAGGGAGACTTTGGATTGTACATCCTGTTTACCTTTTAGATCTTGGACCATGTGGATGTATTGCCTATAAATAACAAAATTTATATACATAAGGTACTCTTTTTAATTCACCCCTTATAGAAAAAACATATTCCTCTGTCCCCCTTATTTATAACCGACCTGCCATTTATTGAGTTGGTGGAGAGTCACTGCTTTAAAACGGGTTTTGCAGCCTCAGCACTACAGACATTTGGGACCAGATGGTTCTCTGTGGTGGGGGCCATCCTGTGCACTGTGGGATGTTGGACAGCATCCCTGGTCTCTATCCTCTAGGTGCCAGGAGTGCCCCCTCCTCCCACGGTGACAACCAAGAATGTCCCCAGACATTGCCCAAAGCTGCCTGGGAGACAAATTGGCCCCCAGCTGAAAACCCGTCTTTTGTTAATATATATATAAATTTATTTTATTTATTTATTTATTGGCTGCATTGGGTCTTCGTTGCTGTGCTCAGGCTTTCTCTAGTTGAGGCAAGCAGGGGTTACTCTTCATTGCAATGAGCGTGCTTCTCATTGCAGTGGCTTCTCTTGTTGCGGAGCACAGGCTCTAGGAGCGTGGGCTTCAGTAGTTGTAGCACGAGGGCTCAGTAGTTGTGGCTCGTGGGCTCTTGAGCACAGACTCAGTAGTTGTGGTGCACAAGCTTAGTTGCTCTGCAGCATGTGGGATCTTCCCAGACCAGGGCTTGAACCTGTGTCTCCTGCATTGGCAGGCAGATTCTTAACCACTGCACCATCAGGGAAGTCCTGAAAACCCCTGTCTTGAGTGGTTGAACCACTACCTGGCTTACAAAAATGCTCAGCAAGTACCACGATCATCATATCCTTCGATTCTCGTAACAGTGATAAAAAGTCAGAACAACTGAGATATCCAAGGTCCATGAATGTACAAATCTCTCCTGAGGTCCCACAGCAGCTGAGGGGCAGAAGCAGGATTTGAACTCAGCCCTGGATGGTTCCAGACACTGGTCCTCAATCCTTGCCTCTAGCATGCCTACAGCCCTCTGGTGTCCTTCCTTCTAATTAAGTAGTCCAAAGGTATTCCAAATACCTTTAAATGTTGCACATCCTCAGAGCTCCCAGGCAGCGGGTAGACACCCTGAATATGTTGTATTAATGACACAGATGCCACCCTAGAACCAGCAAAAGCACCGGCACTTGTCTTCATGAGCTGGGCTCAAGCCGACCTCTGTCCGACTCCAGTGTGGAAAAGCATCATCCGTAACAGAAAAAATAATGGATAAAAACTGGTGCTGCCAGCACCCAAAGACCTCTTCAGATTCCAGGGGTAGGCCTGACACAAAGTATGATAAAAGGGGCTCTCTGGGCCCAACGACTAATTAAATGGAGTTCTTACGAACACCTTGGGGCAAGTTAACTCAGAGGAGAGGTGAGGAAATGATGCTGCTTCCCTGATTCTCAGCTCAGCTGCACAAGTAGGCAGCTCCCATAAGGGCTCAGGTCTGAGAAGCCACGTAACCACCCCTCCAAGCTTCCTAGACAGAGTCCAAGGGGCCAGGGACCAGGTGGTCCCAGGCAGGGAGCACGGCAGGGAGAGGCCATGCCCTGGGCATAAGGCTTAGCTGACTTGGCTCGTTGGGTCAGAACTCTGGGCCCCCTGGGTCCACATCTGGGCAGCAGGGCCTCTCCATGCCTGGGGGCTGTCAGGTGTGGTGAATAGCTGAGCCCTCACCCCAGAGCTAGAATCACATGGACCCTCATCGGCTTTCCTGATGCTGGTGAAAAAGTCTTCCCGGAGAATTTGTAGAGGGCTTACAATGTATTCATCCTTTCAGTTGACGAATACTG